TTAATATGTATCTTATACTTTTACAATCTCCTTAAACAGATTCAAAACAATAATTAATCAAGATATAAATATAATAAAAATCTCAAATATACACTCTATGTACGTATTATTTATGAATGTTGCGATATTATTTTTTTAATTATCCTAATGAAGTAAGTTTTACTTTTTCTCTTTTGGAACATAGAATCTAAAATTATGACTGTCAAAGTTATACGAAATTTGTTTATTATGAATACACCTATGTATCTAATTTAATTTTGCTTTTCTGCAATTCAAATGCCTCAATAAATTAATAATATTTATTTCACACGAATGTTACAATACAACACTGCAAATTTTAACGCATTCAATTTTTTCTTTTTTCTACTTGATATCAGTATCTGGTTTTTACTTCCTGTTCCAATTGTTTACTCATTATAAATAACTATTACATTAAATCACGAATGCGTATAACCCGCAAATAATTGCTGCATTACTCGCATTGCCCGTACGATTGTGTTTACACTTGCGTAATTACAGGTCGAGGAAACAAGTGGAAAGTAGCATTTAATAGAATGGATGCTGCATACTGCATTTCTTTAAATGGCGAGGGAAATTAAAGTCGCGATTTTATGATGCAACTTCATTAATTGTAAGATCTCGTGCCGTAGTTCGAATGTTCGTAAATTATACTCGCGACATTTACGTGAGAATGTTTTATGTTGGATGTACATATATTTTCCGTTCTAATAAATGTACATTTATGAAATTGAATGCATTTCGAAATTACTTTAATTGGCACAACTTCTTTCATTTTTGTATTCTATCTCTTCTTTATCTCTTTGTTTTATATTTATCTTGACTTTTAACTCGTAAGTTTCATTCAATTGTTATTCGAATTTTTTAGAATTTTAATTTTTTTGATCAGTCATTTATAAATTTATACGATGTTTATTTATATTCTTTGGCACTATATAATGAATCGATATTGATATTAAAGGCATGGTGTAATGTAATATTCATATAATATAAATTGAAGAAAATCTTCTTAAATAAAAATTAAATCCGATATTTGTTGAATATTGTAATGAATCGAAATATATGTATACTATCAATATATATTTTTGTATAATACGAACATTTGCGTTTACTGGCTTATGTAATTATATGTAATTTTCACTTTGATTTTCTGCTGTGCTTCTGTTTTCGTTGTCGAATTCATGTTTTCTATTTGATCCGCACTATTTACGCTTTCCCACGATTATAAGATTGCTTATGTAGCGTCGTGATAGCGTATAAGTATAACGAGTTCTTCTTCGGATTGCGGATGTATCACAGTGTCACTGTCACTGATGTCACTGAAATTCCTGTCTCTCACAAGAAAGTCCCACAATTTTGTTCCCACTGCACTATAATGGTTAATCGCATCTGACGAAGAAAACGTGAAATCTTCCGAAATATTTCAAAATATAATATTTACAATATTTTCATTTTAATTGTGTTTTACGGATCAAAGAATTGTAATCATTCTTTTATCAGCGTAACGATGCTCGCGATTATTTCGAGTGACTCGTCAATGTACCCGTTAAG